GTATTCAATCCTCAGCTAACAGTGAAGTACAGCATATTTAAAAAACATTACCTTCACTGTTAGCTGAGGATTGAATACAGCATATTTAAAAACATCATCTTCACTGTTAGCTGAGGATTGAATACAGCATATTTAATAAAAACATTATCTTCCTTGTTAGCTGAGGATCGAATACAGCATATTTAAAAAAAACATTACCTTCACTGTTAGCTGAGGATTGAATACAGCATATTTAAAAAACATTATCTTCACTGTTAGCTGAGGATTGAATACAGCATATTTAAAAACATTATCTTCACTGTTAGCTGAGGATTGAATACAGCATATTTAATAAAAACATTATTTCAATCCTCAGATAACAGTGAAGATAATGTTTTTAGATATTCTGTATTCAATCCTCAGTTAACAGTGAAGATAATGTTTTTAAATATGCTGTATTCAATCCTCAGCTAACAGTGAAGATAATGTTTTTAAATATGCTGTATTCAATCCTCGGCTAACAGTGAAGATAATGTTTTTTTTAAATATGCTGTATTCAGTCCTCGGCTAACAGTGAAGATAATGTTTTTTTTAAATATGCTGTATTCAATCCTTAAATTTGGAACCTAATTTTGAATAGAAAAGATTTTTTATGTTTTCTTTGCTGATGTGCAACAAATTTGTACCAGGAGCTGATTTCAAAATATAAATTTATTTCTTGTTGCTTTGGAAATGGTAAGTTATACATGGTGTTCATAACTTTGATATTGAACCACCTTATTAATTTAATATAATAAAAATAACATAAAGAAACAGTTGTTGTTGTTTGTATCATGGATGCTAAAACTTCATGTTTATACCTCAAAAGTCAGTGTTTGCAGCTCAAAAGATGTCATAGGGTTAATCATTGCATTTGCATTGGTCAGTTATTTATGTAACAGTGTCATATTTGATACCTTCATCATATAGATAATGTCCTTTACATACTCTTAACTATGTTAGTTAGAAAAAACCTCTGATGTCAGATTTATTATTTGCCATAAATGGCAACTTTTTATCTGATGTGGTTCCAATTCCATTTATTTAAAAGCTTCAACCGTTTATGGATACCCTATACTACGTATTATATGTAGTATACATATAAAAAATATTATTAGAATAACTCACTTGTGAATGATTTGTACAACAAAAACTGCACTTGGAGGAATAATATGACATAATTATTCTTAATTGTTTATCAGTCTACTTTACTATAATTAAATGTTGGTGTATCTGTACAATAGTCAACTCGAGAGAGGTGGAACTGTGATAAAGTAAAGAAAATGTGTCAACTCACAGTGAGAAATTGTTATAATGTAGTGATTTACAGAAGTTATTTTCAAATATGTAACAAAAGTATTTATTTTACACCTCTAGTAACAACAGAAGCTACTAGCCCAGAAGAAGGATCTTCGTTTACTGTCTCTGATTGTAAAATAAAAGAAGAAAAGTATGAAGATCCTAATGATACTGAGGTAATTTGTCGATTAAAAACTTTTATGATTCTCTTAATTAACCAAAAGAGCTAGATATTTTTAGAACATTTTAAAGTAATATTACAGTTGTATGATATCTCACTGGACTTCATCAGCTTGTAAATTAATTTTTTAATGAGTAATATTCAAAATAAATATATATGCCAAAAATATAACATTGTACCATGTAAAATAAATTGAATTTAAATAAATATCTCCTCTTTCACACTTCGTATAGAAATATCAAAAAGTTCTTACTTCACTAATGGTCTTTTCTTGTGCATAATAAAATGAGAAGGAACCATGGCTAGTCCCCGGAACTTTTGTTTACATGAGTCACCATCAGCTGTTAAGCCATTCAGTCGATATCAATTGAAAAGAATGCAATGTGCCATCACTGAGATTGTTTTCAATCACCATCAATAATCAAGGAAACATTTCAACGTAAAGTTTTGTTGGCAGAGCATTCACTGAAAAATAAATGTGTGCATACTTGACATAACAGATTCAAAATAAATGTGTGCTTACTTGACATAACAGATTCAAAATAAATGTGTGCAAACTTGACATAACAGATTCAAAATAAATGTGTGCTTAC